CCTTATTTCCAAGATTTTCAAAGTACCCCACATGCCCCCGAAAAAAAAAAAAAGTGAAGGGCCAGTGCCTTTAACCCTTGTGCATGTGCCCTTGCATTACCCAGGTGTATGGAGGATGGCAGGGATTGGTCCCTCCATGGGACCACTGAAGGTACACAGTGCCCCAGAAGAAGTACGTGGTGGGAGCAGGGAGAAGGTAGCCATGGCTCTCCAGGCAGCCTGGATAGGGCTCATCTGCAGAAGCAGGCTACCCCTTTCTTGTGTCACAATCCCTTCCTCCTGCATTTGGTGGAGCCCTGTCCCGCTCACCAGCAAAGGGCCGTGCCTACATGCTGCCCATGATTGGACCAAAGTTTCAGCAGGATAGCTCGGCACAGCCCTTACTCAGCTGTTACAAGCCAGGAGTAACTCCGCTGACGTTAGGGTTCCAGCACCACATATGTAGCACTGTTGGGAAAACAGAAGCAGGCCCTGAAACTTCAGTCTCGTCACTTTATGTCTATGGAGTTGGCTCCTACCCCCACTTAATTCAATGCTGCAATAAAGTTTTGCTAGGACACAAGACAGGACCTCAGTGATAAGCACAGCCAAAGTACAGTAACTCCTCACTTAATGTTGTAGTTCTGTTCCTGAAAAATGCAACTTCAAGCAAAACGATGCTAAGCGAATCCAATTTCCCCATAAGAATTAATGTAAATGTGGGGGTTAGGTTCCAGGGAAATTTTTTTCACCAGACAAAAGACTATACAGATAATATATACTGTGTATATACACACACACACACACACACGTGCGCAGTATAAGTTTTAAACAAACAATTTAATACTGGTACACAGCGATGATGATTGTGAAGCTTGGTTGAGGTGGAGGAGTCAGAGGGTGGGATATTTACCAGGGAATGCCTTACTGCTAAATGATGAACTAGCATTTGGCTGAGCCCTCAAGGGTTAACTGGTTGTTAATGTAGCCTCACTCTACAAGTCAGCTGGCATGGAGGGAGGGGAGACAGCATAGCAGACAGAGACACACACCGTGACTTGCCCCCTCCCCCCGTACAACAAGCAGGAGTCTTGGGGAACAGCTCCAAGGCAGAGGGCAGGAGCAGCACATGGCAGTGGGGGGGGGGACAGCTCAATGCCGGCAATTGCTAGCCTGCTGGGCAGCTGCAACACAGGGAACTTAGGGGAGGGAGGAGCTGATCGGGGAGCTGATAGGGGGGCTGCCAATCCACCCTGGTTCCAAGTCCCCACCAGCTAGCTCCAATGGGCTGCTCTTCCTGCAAGCAGTGGACAAAGCAGGCGGCTACCAAACGACGTTAGAAGGGAGCATTGCGCAACTCTAAACGAGCATGTTCCCTAATTGATCAGCAACGTAATAACGAAACAACGTTAACCGGGATGAATTTAAGTGAGGAGTTACTGTATCTTATTGCAGGTTGGTTACTTTAGGGTACAACAGAAGGTCGCAACCATTCCATGCTGTCTGCAGCATCGTTGTGTTGCCATTCTGGCTCACGGCAGCGGGAACTTTATGCCAAGAAATCCAAAATTTCCTAAGTGGCCATGACCCAGCTTCCAATTTTGGGTGCTCATTTAAGGCTCCGAAAACTCTGGTTGTTGTCCCCCCTCTAACCTCCCAAACACACATGCACTGAGCAGCTGGATTAAAGAGGAACCTGAAGCAAAACCCCAGATCCAAGCATCCCTGAACTTGAAATCTAGATCTTCCTATAGCCACTCCCGTCATAATGGGTTGAGTCCAAAATCCAGATGCAAACACCCCAGAACTATAGAGACTTGCATACAGATCGGAACTGTGTGACTTGCCACCGACTTAGCTATCCAACAACCTGGCTCCTGCCGCCACACAAATACTGATTGGCACTGAAATCTGCAGTGCTGTGGGCCTAAAAACACAGGGGCCCAGAAACAGGTGACCAAAAGCAGAAGTCACTGTTGACAACTTTGCCCTAGTGCTGCAGCATAGCTCCTTTTGGCCCCAGTTTATAAAATGGACTTTGAGAGAACCCTAAAGATGTTTCGCTTCCTACAGACACCTGCACTCAGAGTATCAAAGGGCGCTCACCAGAACAAGAGCATTGGCAGCCCGGTCTTAAAAACATACTCACGCAGCGGTGAACGATTTCCAATAAAATCAAATCCAAACCAAGCAGGAAATGAATGGAACTAAGCGGGGGGGAATCTGAGAGCCAGAAAATCTCTGTGGGAAAGATCATACCTCACGTCTTCTCCGTCTTCAAGCATAGACAGACAGATTGTGCATTTCTCATCGGTGTCCGACTCCTCCCCATCCTCCTTCTCAGCTTTGTCTTCCTGTGGTCTTCTCTGTGACAAGGTTAAAGACGTAATGTAATTACACAAGGAGAGACTCTGACTCGCTACTGTTCTCTAAAGCCTCTGCAGCTGGAGGAATCGGAACAGTAAGCGCTTCATTGTCAACTGAAAGGACCCACCAGGTTAGGGAAGCCTGCCCAGACAAAAATCCACAGCGGGATGGATGCCAGTTCCTACTCATGCTCCAACTGTCAAATTGTACCAGGAGAGGAAAGGCAGACAGAATAATGTCAGCGTCCCAAAGGGGCCAGGCAGCCACTTTCTTATGACTTCTATGATTAAAGTCACAGTCATTAATGTCACAATGAATGTCATGATTCATTCTTAGGTACTGAAACCTCCACAGTCTCTTGAACATTTCCAGTGAACAATAACAATCCCAGTTGAAGCCTCAGATATTCCAGCACAATTCCCACAGATGCTGCACCTGTATATCCCAGGAGGTATCTGCACACATATACCTGCCAGTTATAGTTGTTTCCTGTAGACTTTATAAGCGTGACCCTTTCTACACAACTCAGCATTCACTGCAGTAACTTCCATGCCACTAAAAATACCCTGGTACCCAGGGCCTCCGCCAGCAATTCCAGGCCCCAGGGCAAAACAGTCAATGGGCCCCCAGACCGCGTGGACGCAGTCCGCCGGACATTTGGCCGGCGCTGCGCCTGCGTTGGCTGGCGCCCAGCAAGCTGCCGGCTGTGATGCTGGGCGCGCTCTTCCGGCATGGCCAGGGCTTCCACATGCCTGCCCGATAGGGTTGCCAACTGTCTAACTGCCCCACCCCCTGCCCCACCCCTTCCCTGAGGCCATGCCCCTGCCCTGCTCCTTCTCCGAGGCCTCGCCCCTGCTCACTCCATCCCCCCTCCCTCTGTCGCTTGCTCTCCCCCACCCTCACTCACTTTCACCAGGCTGGGGCAGGGGGGTTGGGGTGTGGGGGAGGGTGAAGGGTCGGGCTCTGAGAAGGAGTTTGGGTGCAGGAGGGGGTGTGGGCTCTGGGAGGGAGTTTGGGTGCGGGAGGGGGTGAGGGGTCAGGCTCTGGGAGGGAGCTTGAATGCGGGAGGGGGTGCAGGGTGCGGGGTCTGGGAGGGAGTTAGGGTGTAGGGTGCAGGCTCTAACCTGGGGTAGAGGGCTGGGGTGCAGGAAGTTGTCAAGGGGTCAGTGCTTACCTCGGGCGGCTCCCAAAAGCGACTGACACACCCCTCTGGCAGCAGCTCCTAGGCGGGGGGCCCAGAGGGTCTCCGCCCACTGCTGCCTGCAGGCACTGCCCCCCACAGCTCCCATTGGCTGCAGTTCCCGGCCAATGGGAGCTGCGGAGTCAGCACGTCGGGGTAGCAGCAGCGTGCAGAGATGCCTTGCCCTCCCTCCAGGGGCTGTAGGGCCATTCCGGCTGCTTCCGGGAGTGATACTGTGCGAGGGCAGGCAGGAAGCCTGCCTTAGCTCCGCTGCACTGCCGCCGGCAGCGGCAGGGGGCCCCCAGGCCCTTTTAAATTGCCCAGGTCCTGAGGCAATTGCCCTTTTTGCCCCCCCCCCCCCCCGTCAGCAGGCTTGCTGGTACCACAAGGACTCTGGAGTGGCAACTGTTACTTGTCTTTTGCTAATGTCAACAAGCCCCAGCCCCATTGTGCTTGGCGCTGTACAAATAGAAAAAGTGTCTTTAATGGAGCTCATAAATGAAAGTAGAATTCAGCCCATGAGCTTTTCCCATTGTTTTCCATACTTTCCAGTTCCACTCACATTCCCTTTCCTGAGAGAGAATGATCTAAACCCAGCCCAGCAAGTAAAACAGAGTCAAAGTCTCAGGTCCCTCTTTCCTGCCTCCTCTCTTGTAGATCAAAAATAAAGTGACCTCCTGGAGTTTTGATCACAAAATCTGGAGATGTCACTGTTCCTGAAGGGAGAGTGCAGATCCTCTCATCATTGCGTGAGTCCTCCTGGTGTGGGACTTGGACTCAAAAGGGACATATACGTACACCCGCAGCTTTGCCTGTGTGTGTGAAATCTGCAGGTGCTACCACTTGTGTGGATAAATGACAAGAGTTTACACACACACACACACACGTGTGAGCACTGAGACTGAGATTGCTGAGTGGGAGAAGGTTGAGGCACAACCAGCTGAGCTACCCTGGCACTTTAGTCTACGATCTCCACAACACATTATAACCAAACATGAGATGAACCATAGGGATTCTGGATTTCAAATTCCTCCCATCTGGATTTGAGGCTTTGGTTTGGGCCTCAATCTAACCTGAATTTGGCACGCACACACACACACACACACATATCAAGTTTCTTCCCATTTCCTATCCATGAGTAATCCTGGGACAAGAATGATTACATGTTTCTCTAGCAGCTAAACTCATTCCCTTAGGAAGTGAAAGTCAGACCTGCTGGGAGAGTTGCCTGTAGACACAACCCTGGCAGATTTCTCACCTTTTTGTACTTGTGTGGGAAAGTGAACCTCTCAATGGTGTTCTGCACAGCTCCCCGGTTCACGCTGCCTAATCTGTCTTCCAGCTGCAGCAGCTCCTTAAGCAGAAAATATCCACAAGGCATATGACAATCTCCCAAGACTATCCCTGCAGATTCATTCTGCTTTGTGATGAACATAGAATGTAAGGTTCTTTTCTTACCATTTATTCAGAGAAAATATAATCTCAGGTTAATAATACTATGTTTCACTTTCATGAAGTCTTTTATCATAAGAACAAAAGAACAGCCATACTGGGTTAGGCCAAAGGTCCATCTAACTCAGTATCTTTCGACAGTGGCCAATGCCAGGTGCCCCAGATGGAATTAACAGAACAGGTAATCATCAAGTGATCCATCCCCTGTCACCCATTCCCAGCTTCTGGCAAACAGAGGCTAGGGACATCATCCCTGCCCATCCTGGCTAATAGCCATTGATCGACCTATCCTCCATGAATGTATCTAGTTCTTTTTTAAACCCTGTTATAGTCTTGGCTTTCACAACCTCCTCTTTCAAAGAGTTCCACAGGTTGACTGTGCATTGTGTGAAAAAATACTTCCTTTCGTTTGTTTAAACCTGCTGCCTATTAATTTCATTTGGTGAGCCCTAGTTCTTGTGTTATGAGAAGGAGTAAATAACACTTCCTTATTTACTTTCTCTACACCACTCATGATTTTATAGACCTCTATCATATCCCTCCCCGAGTCATCTCTTTTCCAAGATGAAAAGTCCCAATCTTATTAATCTCTCCTCATACGAAAAGCAACAGAGGGTCCTGTGGCACCTTTGAGACTAACAGAAGTACTGTTAAGCTTATGCTCCCAGTACTTCTGTTAGTCTCAAAGGTGCCACAGGACCCTCTGTTGCTTTTTACAGATTCAGACTAACACGGCTACCCCTCTGATACTTCTCCTCATACGGAAGCTGTTCCATCCCCTTTTCTGAACCTTTTCCAATTCCAATATATCTTTTTTGAGATGGGACGAACACATCTGCACGCAGTATTCAAGATGTGGGGCATACCATGGATTTATAGAGAGGTAATATGATCTTTTCTGTTTTATTGTCTATCCCTTTCCTAATGATTCCCAACATTCTGCTAGCTTTTTGACTGCTGCTGCACATTGAGTGGATGTCTTCAGAGACCTATCCACAGTGACTCCACGATCTCTTTCTTGAGTGGTTACAGATAATTTAGACCCCACCGTTTTATATGTATAGTTGGGATTATGTTTTCCAATGTGCATTACTTTGCATTTATCAACATTGAATTTCATCTGCCATTTTGTAGCCCAGTCACCCAGTTTCGTGAGATCCCTTTGTAGCTCTTTGCAGTCTGCTTTGGATTTAACTATCTTGAGTCATTTTGTATCATCTGCAAATGTTGCCACCTCCTTGTTTACCCATTTTTCCAGATCATTTATGAATATGTTGAATAAGACTGCTCCAAGTACAGACCCCTGCGGGACATCACTATTTATCTCTCTCCATTCTGAAAACTGACCTATTTACTCCTACTCTTTGTTTCCTATCTTTTAACCCGGTACCAATCCATGAGAGGACCTTATCCCATGACAATTAACAGACATGGGCCCAAGCCACAGAATCCAGACCTGGGTTTCTGACACTTAGAAGTTCAGGGTGTTTGAATCAACAGTTTTCAGTCAGGCCATTGTGATTTATAAAACATTAGTTAATTCTCCATTCACACCTGTGAAGTAGGTGGAGTCTTATCTCCAGATAGGAAAAATGAAACAGAGAAATTAAGTGACATGTTTATGGCCACACATTGAGCCAGAGCCAAAAGTAGGACCCAGGAGTCCTGGTACACAGGACTTCATTGCCACCCACATTGATGATTTAGTTGGGAATTGGTTCTGCGTTGAGCGGGGGTTGGACTAGATGACCTCCTGAGGTCCCTTCCCACCCTGATATTCTATGATTCTATGATTCTATGATATTAAAATGACATGTTTTAAAATAATCTGGACACAAGTATTTTGCCAGATAAGTGCTACTGTCTCTGTATGTTTCACAGACAAGGTACAAACTGGGCCAAAGTTTCAAAACAGCCTGCCTGGATGTACACCTGTAAAATGTGAGCTCCCAATTCTTCTGTGCCCCACACCTGGATTTGTGTGTGAACCACTAGGAGTCTGATCCAAACCCCCCTGAATGGGAATCTTTTCATTGACTTCAATGAGCTTTGAATAAGTCCCTAACTACATCTATTTAGCGTTCTTGGACCTAGCACATATATTCCAGTTTGGAACAGCTGTTCTATAGCAAACAGTTTTAAAAATGTATGATAGGACATATGCAGATTCCAGAGGAAGCAAAAAGGGGTTAAACAATCATGTAAACCAGAAGGTACCTACTTCATAACTTTCCCTTACGGCAGACGTGTGCCTGTTTGGATTCAGTCCCTGAAGAGCAAGTAACTGAAGCTGAGGATAAGGGTAATTTCTGATTTCATGGACTACCTGTGCGGGAGGGGGAAGACAATCACCTGTATTAGCACATCAAATCCTGACTTCAAATCAAATCTTTTTAAAGTGCAAAACTTCAGAGCAGACTGACAACTAGTTTGAGGCCCAAAATGAAGATTTCTTTTAAAACGTAGAAATCATAGAGTTTTTATTAATTAAATCTACTCTCAGGAAAAATACAATTGTGATTTTTTTTTATTTTGTGTACAGTCTTGCCAACCCTAGGCATTCAAAAATCATGAGATCAGCTTAAAAATAATCAGCAATACATTTCGGGTTCTGTTTATTTGTCCTGTGGTTTTTAGCCATTTACATAGCATTTGAGTCACACTGTCAAGCTTTTCTTTAAAACCAGGAGAACTAGAAACTTACTTTAAAGAAAAAAATGAAAGCTTGGATTCTCACATAGTCACATGATTCCAGGAGCTGGGGGCTTTAAGAAAAAAAAAAGCCAGACAAAACCCCCACCAAATATCACAAGACACAATAAAATTGCTATGGTTGGCAACACTGTGGGTCAAAATCCAAAACACAACATCCTGCTAGCAGGAGAGTATCACTAAGGCTATGTCTACACTAGCACTTTTGTCGATAAACCTTGTCAGTCAGGGGTGTGAAAAAACACACCCCTGAGCGACATAAGTTATACTGCTAGAAGCACTGGTGTGGACGGCGCTATGTTGGTGGGAGATGCTCTGCTGTCAACATAGCTACCACCACTCATTGGGGTTGGGTTAATGATGCTGATGGGAGAGGTCTCTCCCATCGGCATAGAGCGGCTGCACGGGAGACCTTACAGGGTACAGCTGCAGTGGTACACCTGTGCCGCTGTGAAGTCTCTAGTGTAGACATAGCCAAAGTGAAACTGATCATCATCAGTGTCGAGTGAAGAGCAGAAAGTTAACAAACAGCCGAAAGGTTGTCGAGGATAATAGATTCCCAATCCCCATTCAAATCTCATCTTGATACAATCACACACAGACTGGAGAGTGAGGACTTCTCTTAAAGAGTCACAAATCAGGAGAGGGGCCCCAAAACAGCATTTGTTTTTGAGAGCAAGCTTTTTGGGGGGAGGATCTGACTGATGATTTTTGAACTCATACAATTAATATCACAAATGGTGAAAAGTGAATAATTCGTTTAATTTTAACATACTTGCAGGAGTTGTATTGGTAACACCTCGTCAAAAAAATACCTGGGTGATCTTCATGCTGTTGGTCTCCTTTAAAATGCTACTAGGAATAGGCTTCAAAGATTTGTGTCAAGGATCCTTTTAAGTGGAAGGAGATACAGCAGGAAGGATTCTCAGAGATGCAGAGACTTTAAGGACAGAAGGGACCATCATGATCATCTAGATTCTAGTCTGACCTCCTAAAGGTCCCTTTACACCACTCTGGCACTACAAAGGGATTAAATTACATTTAAATATACTTCAAGGCTGCTTTACATTGCCAGAATGGTGTAAACAGTGCTTAGTCTGAATGAGCATCAGGACCAATTATTGACTTCAATGGAGTTAATCTGGATTTACAGTGGTTTAGCTGGGAGCGGAATTTACCCTAATATCTACAGTGGTACAGTGTTCCATCTCTTTTCCATTCTGTCTAGATTTTGTGGGCCAGCTAGTGTAAAATCGGTGTAGCTCCACTGAAGGTAATAGAACTAATCCAATTTACTTTTCCTGCCCAATGAGTACAATGACGCAACCTTATCCTCTCAGGCAGACTCCCTCCCACAGCCAGAGATAAGTGGGACTCTTAGAAGACAGGTGATGGAAAGATAACAGCCTTTATTTTGACTGCCTTCTGGCAGACAATGCATAAAACATTTCCAGGCAGAAGTGTTTCACTTACCATCTGCGTTGAGGATGTGTTTCTGGGGAAATGGTGCATTCTAGACGTAGCTAAATAATGTTGATAGTGCTGAGGAACTGGCCTGACCTGGAACTGGGCATGTGTCAGTCCAGCATCAACACTAAGATCCCTGTAAGAATGAGACCAAAAATACATATATACAGAAAATATAAATCCAATCTTCCTTTTACATGCCTCACTTTATTTCTGAGCCCTAATACGCTGCCAGTTACAATTCATAGTATGCTCTCACATACTGGGCACGCAGTTCATTGGGTCCCATTCTCAGCTACAATGGTGCAAATCCAGAGTGATGCCACTGACATCGGTAGTTACTCCACATTTACAGCACTGCAGTAGAGCGGAACTAGGCCCGATTCTCCACGGTCTTGCTCTTTGTGCAAGTCACTTACACCTTGTCAAGGTAGTGTAAAGTGGTGGCAAGAGTCATGATTTGCATATGTGCAAGGCAGTAGAGAAATAGGCCCACTGGCTTCATAGGTGGATGAATAAAAATTTAGTAGCCTTATTACTCCCCCAGGATATGACGGGTAAGGCAATGTGAATCAACTGGTTCAGAACAGGCCAGATTTTGTTTTCGCTCACGCCAGCGTAAATCTGGAGTAATTCTACTGGCTATAGAATTTGCCTGTTCCACTTTATTTTTTTATTAATACTAATCATACTTTGCTTATATACTTTACAAACATAGGAGATGCCTCCCCCGCCACTAAAATGCAATCACTTCCAATGTGAAACAAAGCATCCGTTTAACAGAGTACAGCAACAGTGGCACAGGGAGAGAAGAACTGAAACTACAAGGAGAATTTTAGGTAGGCAGAATAATACCAAATTGGAATTAAGCCAGAACACCGCTAGAACTTGGTCAAATATGACGGTGGGAACTTTAACACCACCACATAGTCAAGAGCTGGAATTCACATAATATTCAAAACTGGCCCAGCCCATAGAACAGAACCCCTAACAGATCACAAAGGTAATGGTTCAATGCTGACGCAGAGTCCCACCTACAATGCTTTCTGCAGCACTTATGTAGTCATTGGAGTTTTACCATCCCAGGGATAAGCTCATCTGCAATTGCTTGGCTTATGAGAGCACAGTGGTTCACAGCACAAAGCGAGATGGTACATACCTTACCCTAATCAGTCAGGGGCCCAAAGCCTCTGAACTGCAAAATTATTATTAAAAGAAAACAAAGACAAGGAAGCCATATATAGGAGGGGGAAAGGAATACATCTGAGGGGAATGGGGCAAAAAGTGGGCTGGAGTCATAAGGATAGAAGTTCATCAATTTTAAAGCCAGAAAAGACCATTAGACCATCTAGTCTGTTCATAGATTAGATCACCATCTAGTCAGACCTCCTGTGTGACACAGGCCAAAGAATTTAACCCAGCTACTCCTGTGTTGAGCCTAACCACTTGTGTTTGGCTAAAGCATCTCTTCCAGAAAGCATCTAATCTTGATCTGGAGACATCTAGAGATGGAGAATCCACCACTGTTGTAATCTCAGAAAAAAGACACAGTTTGTCTCAATGCATTTCTCATGCTTTCACCAGACAGAAATTTATGATCTCCATAAGCCCTCCAGCGGGGAGCCCCTCCTGTGCACGCACACACAGACACAAACCTGTGAGCTAAAACGTGCTGGCAAACCCCACCCTCTTGATTCCTGGAGTCCAAGGGCAGAGAGCTAGCACGTTATCTCCATCAGTAATTCAATTAACAGATCCCTTGGCTCTCCAGCAAGAGAAATCTCATAGCAAACAGTGCTTTGAATGCTGGTCACTTTATCAGAGTTACAAAAGCAGGCACTCTGATAACCACGGTATTAGCACTTGCCAAAGTGAAGCTAATGAGAACCTCAAACTTCCTTTCCCTTATAATAATTAATGGAGATATCCTATCTTCTAGAACTGGAAGGGACCTTGAAAGGTCATCAAGTCCAGCCCCCTGCCTTCACTAGCAGGACTAAGTACTGATTTTGCCCCAGATCCCCAAGTAGCCCCCTCAAGGATTGAACTCACAACCCTAGGTTTAGCAGGCCAATGCTCAAACCACTGAGCTATCCTACCCCCTCCCTTAAGTGGATGAAGAGAGTAGCCGGCACTGAGGCTCGTTATGAGCTATCAAAACATTTCTTCAAGTGGAAGCTGTGGAAGCTGCTTTTCCTCAGCAGCGGATGACAGACATGAAGACACAGTCACTGTAGAAGTCTTTGGCAGACCTGCTGCTTGAAACATCCTGAGGGGAGGAGAGAACTCCAACGCCCACTCCTGCCATTCCTCTGGCCTATTCCTGCCCTTTGCTTGGCTGTACCATGCCTCCTGTCATGCGGGATCTCAAATGGAGCCGAGCTGCCAAGCCTCAGACCAGAAGAAGGCCCACCGAAGGATGCAAGGTGTTGCAGGAGGGAGACTGACCTATGAGGAGAGATTTAAAAGCTGCCCCAGTAATATTTAATGTGGAAAAGAGAAGATTAAGAATTCAGAGTGAGAGAGAGAGAGGGACAAGCAGTGTGGTCCAGTTGTCTATTCGTGGCTCTGCTGCTAGTTATTATGATAGACATACATAATAGCAGCATAGGTGTGCATAATGCTATACAGAGAAAGTAACGACTCTTTGCTTTCAAGGACCTTATTATAATTTAAGACCTCATTCCTACAATGGCATCCTGCATCGATGCCTAGCTCTACTGTCATCATGAACAGGTCTGACTACCAAAAGGAGGCTGCCAGACAACTCTCCAATACCAAATTCTACAGGCCACTTCCCTCAGATCCCACTGAGGAATACACAAAGAAACTGCACCATCTACTCAGGACACTCCCTACACTAACACAGGAACAAATCAACATACCCTTAGAGCCAGAACCGGGGTTATTCTATCTACTACCCAAGATCCACAAACCCAGAAATCCCGGACGCCCCATCATCTCGGGCATCGGCACCCTCACTGAAGGACTGTCTGGATATGTGGACTCCCTACTCAGACCCTACGCCCCCAGCACTCCCAGCTATCTCCGTGACACCACTGATTTCCTGAGAAAACTACAATGCATTGGTGATCTTCCAGAAAACACCATCCAAGCCACCATGGATGTAGAGGCTCTCTACACAAACATCCCACACACAGATGGAATACAAGCTGTCAGGAACAGTATACCTGATGATGCCACAGCACAACTGGTTGC